AAAAATTGAACTGACCTTTTCTACCAAATCTATCATTCAGTAGTGGACTGAACCAGATACCTACAAAAAATCCAACAAACCATATGTTGAGGATCAAATTCCATAGCAGATTATAAGTGCTATCGCTCATAGTCTTACCCATCCTCTGATAGGACTCGTTCAAGTATACCTGATAAACGTATTTCTGTAATAACTCTTTGTTAGTGATGTTTGATTGGCTTGCTTACCTTGAATTCTTCGACAGGCGTATTCAAATATGTGGTAGAGAATCCATACTCGAAGTTCGAAGCGAAAGCAAGCAATGAGAATATGAACACTTGACGAATTTGGGCTATCCAGTACGACGTCATGCTACTCACAATTTTCAAAAATAGATTCGCGCTCAAAGCTCGAATTCATGTAGGGATAAGGGAATAACTCGATCATATTTGAAGGCAAATTCTGAGAGATATGTGAAAATGTAAAATGCGTAAACGAGATAAAGGCAGCGAAATTTTTTGATAGAAACTGCATACAACGCATTTCTGAATACCCAGGCATACATATTATAAATACAATGGTTCACTAATCTCTGTACAAGTAAAGATGGAGAAGTGAGAAGAGTTTGTGGGAAGTGAGGCTACATTAAGATTTATTCGCTTGTATAGAGTTTACAGTCCATACCGCAAAAAATATATCATACTGGTCATAAACTCAAAGTTGTCATTGAGCTTTAGAATAACATTACTATAAGTCTTGAAATTGGGGGGCATTATATACACTGTAGAATGAGAAACCTAACTCATATAGTTCATGCAGATAAAGTAAAGTATTGACTTCTCTTTTCAAACATAAATTCCTGCAAAACATGGAACCGTTTACTATTTATTTTTCATTATGTCAAAAGTAATGAACTTTTTTGCTATTCCAGCCTTTCCGCTAATTGTGAAACTGTTTTAAATGTAGCTTTCTTTCTCCTTTGGACATGCTGCATCATTCGGCCAGTTGACTTCATGACTGTTCAAATAATTCAAACTTTCGAACCCAATGTTTGCTTGGTACTTTCGCTAATTTTCAAAATTTTCATTCCCAGAAAAAAATTGATTACAAAAAACAAAGCAGAGACTTTTAAGTACAAATCACTTTCTAGGTTTTCGAAACTAATGCTTTGGGCTTCTCAATATCATTTTTCAAAAGCTTTGTTTTTAGAAGATGGCACAGAGCATATATGCATCAAATTCTACTGAATCTTCAGCGCTCGGAAGTTTTAGTAGTGATTTATCACTGAAGCTTTTTTGCAAGTACTTCAGGCTTCAAGTTTGGAACATTATAAGACTTTTGGACGCAGCTATTCGCAACTATAAAATTTGAGCGACTAACGTTTTGCTTCAAAGAGGAAGAAAAACTGCTTCGGGTGATGTTTGTAGCTGTCTGTTAACACTCTAACTGATTTGACATAGGTCCAAGATGAAATGTGAAGTTCTCTTTAAGCCCTCAACCCATGATTTATAAAGTAAACTCCTTATTGTCAGCGCATTATGAAACAAACATTAGTAACTATGATAAATTTATTACAATTAGCAGAAATGCATAATTTGTCATTTTTTTCAAACTCCAGAGAGCTACAATACCATAAAACGATTACATCTCCAAAGAAACAATTTATAGAATCAGCATCCAGAAAAAAGTAGCGATAGCAACAACTTAGACAATTATGGTGTCTTATCAATTTTCAAAGCGCGAAAGCAGATACTGATTGGGAAAAAGGACAAAGTACAACGGAATGCAGCGCATGGGCTGGACCCAATGATACTTCATATTCACACCAATGACATCTCATAACACTGCTCATAGAAGCCAGTTTTCGAGTCGACAGTGTGCATCGTGCATACGCAAATCTAGATTATTTTTTGCCATTGTTGAACGAAAAATCATGGGAAAGAAACAAACTTTTATATTATAAAATTTATTCTCTCATATGCAGCCTGTACTCTCAATCACTACCCTGCATATTTTGACTTAGGACAGTTTTATTTTTATGGGCAATTAGCTGGAAAACCCGACTCCGCCCGGCCCTGTTATATAATCGTAAAGCATGCTCACTCACCCCTGTGCCAGCTCCTAACCCCATAGCTCAAACTGTGCAAAAAATCTATAAAATCAATATCGATCAATAACGAAAAGTAGCCTGACACCCGTCCCGCCTCGAAGTGTATGTGTGCAAAATTTGATCCCAATCGGTCCAAAAATAGAAATTTCCGTTCAGATACGTACAGAAAGATAAGATGAAGAAAAATCCAAATACTAGTCTGCAGTGGCAGACCGAGG